CCCCAAAACCCCAAAACCCCAAAACCCCAAAACCCCAAGAAGGTGGGTCAATGCTGAAATTATAATTATTTAGGTAATAAACTTGTTAAATATGTTTTTCTTCGAAGACCTCAAAGAATCCGAAGACAACTCTCTCAATATCTCCGATCCCAATATCGGCAACATCCAAGACATCCTCAATTCCCAAAAGACACCTACCTCAAAATCAGGTAAGCCTCCCCAATTCTACTCTTTCTCTTCACAACTAAACCATCTATAAAATCCTTCTACCGATCTCGCTTCTTAAGAGAGCCCATTCATACTTTATAGGGGAGAAAGACTATCCAGAGCATGCAAGCGATAATGACCCGAAGAGAGCTATAGAGAGTGGTAATAAACTAGAAGAAAGAAGAAAAAGAGACAGGATTAGGAAACAGATTTCAAGAGGACGGCATAAAGCTTATGTGGAACAACTTGAAAATAAAATAAAAGAACTTGAGAAAGAGAACTTTAGACTCCAGAATTTGCTGGTTAATTACAGGTCACAAGATATTGATAAGGTCGATAATGAGGCGAAATCATATATACAAGATTGCAAGGAGGAGAGGAGAGAGATAATTAAGCCATTTATTAACACTGAAACTGCCGATCTTTCCAAAGAGACGAACGAAGATCTGAGTATACTCTTTAATCGAAGACTCAACAAGATGATGAACAAGCACAAGAAGTTCCTCGATAGATCTTTTGAGATGATTATAAATAACCCGTATCCAATAACAAGATATAAATATTGGGGTGACTTCAAGCCAGAATACAACACAGATTTTGAAGTTATAAAGAAGTTCCATAAATGAACAAAATATCAGATAGAAGATTTTAAAGAAAAGCACAATTTTTCCTTAATGGATGAATTCGTTGCCTCATTTATGCCAAACAAGAGGCAATTTGACTTTATCAAAAATGTAGCGTTGAAAAGAGAATATCTTATAAAGAAAGATTATGAAAATGGAATCAAACATCTTCTCCAAGCTAAGGAAATATTCGAGAAAACGAACATCCAATTGCTCACCTTTGTCAGGTTTTTCCTTTCGTCAGGATTTATCTCCCACAAGCAGATCCTTGGTTCAAGACTAAAAGAAGATCTCTTAAGGTCTGAAGAGCCATTTAACACCATATGGAATGTACAAGTTGAACCAAAGAAATATTCCGTCAATATGAAGGAGGATCCAATCATTGGAAAATTAGCACAGAGATGCGTAGATAAGGAAATCCACGAGTGTTCATACGAATATAATCATTACTCCCTTCCTTCTTCAGTATAAATTAGTAAAAATGATGAATAAGAGCTTTAGTCTCATCCATCTCCAGGCACCATTCCTGAAATGGCCAATAATATTTCAATATAAGTTTTAGACCCAGGGGTTTTGGGGTTTTGGGGTTTTGGGGTTTTGGGG